TGGGCGGGTCCATATTGTTTCATTGGGTTTGGACTAGAGCTGTGAGAAACATCTTTGGTGGACTACCATTCCTACAGTTTTTTGTCTTTTGATGCTAGGAATGGAGCAATACTTGGTTTCTCATAGTAGATTTGGACAACCTGTATATCTTTTTATTGATTTGGAAGAAACAACATATTCAGGTTTATAAAGGGAAAAAATGGAAAGATAGTTGTAGTGCCCTATGCCTTGTGTACCTAAGGTTAGATTAAATTTGCATGATTGGGTAGAAGTGACTTAAATGTGGCAAAAAATGATAGGATGATTTAAAATATGTGCTTATGTTTGTTTGAGTTGGAGTAGGAGGAAAAGGTGTTGATGTAAGTAAATGACTTTACCATCTGGTTTTCTTTATTTGGCGAGAATGATACTAAATAAGCAAGGGCAGGGGTCAGGGTTCTGGGTCCACAGTGAAATTGCTCTTCTTTCACTGTTTTGGGCTGTTGTCTTTTCCCAGACACACCAATCCCATTGTGGAAAATGGACAGACTCATCCGTGCCAAAAAGTCATACAGGAAGTAAGTGCTAATGGATGCCTGTGGAATCAAGGCTTTCTTCTTTTTTCCTTACAAGGCTTTGGGTAACTCAATTAAGAAGGTACTGTCTTCCAGTTTCATAGGGAGATTGCATTTGTTGATATGGTTTCGATTTCAGTGAAATGAGGGACAGAGCCATTCAAATATTTCTTATTTTAGATTTGATAACAAAACAGGCTGTGGGGAAATACACTGAAAGGCCCAAAGATGTAGAAAGAGATTAACTGTGTGACTCCTAGAGTTCCTAGGAGGCCCAATCAATACTAGCGAAATATTTTTGACAAATCTGGTGACTTCACTTTCTTGTCAGTACATGTTTCCCTTCTGTTTTTTTCACTGATGATAATGTGAGGATCAAGAGGCATGTTTTGAGAAGTGCTTTTCAGACTTCAGGGGAGATACAATAACATAAACACTACGTATCCTTAAGTGTTCAGTGTTATCAAATGATGCCATTTCCTTAACTCTAATCCTTTTTGTTCAAAGTTCCGCCTTCTTGGGACTACCTTTAAACATCTCTTCCTCTATAACTCATTCTTTTCATCTTCTTTCAGGAATTCTGAAATTAAGGAAAATGTATATTTCTGTCTTTTAGCAAATTAGACATGCTCTTCTTCCTGTTCTAAAAAGTCACTGTGTTTCTCTTAATATGGATTTAATAGAATGTTTTTGTGATGGGTAGTGTATTGAACCTGTGCTCATTGGCCATAATCAGAGTATGTGTGTTCCTGTAAAGAATGTTTTGTCTGAGTTATTTAAATCCAAAATTAGTTATTTAAAGCCAAATCAGATGTTATCGACTTAAGAGCATATTTTCAGTTCTTGGTTGTTGATTATTTTCTTTCTTGTGCTCTTTTACTCTTGACTTAGATATGGCCAGTCTTATCAGAGACTCTAAATAAGCACCGGGCTGATAATCGGATTGTAGAACGTTGTTGCAGGTGTCTGCGCTTTGCTGTTCGCTGTGTAGGCAAAGGATCTGCAGCCCTGCTACAGCCACTAGTCACACAGGTAAGTTCTCCATGAGAGGGGAAAATGCCAAATGTATGGAATTTGAAATAGGAGCCTTTAGAACAAAAACTTTGCTGATGAAAGCCAATACTTTTGTATTTATTAAATAACAAACTGAAAAATACTTGAAAGAGGTTAGGGCCACATGTGTCCTAGATCCTTAAGTGTTTTTCTTGCCTCCTTTGGTGCTGAAAAAAGAATAATCTTGAAATCAGAAGGCCATAGGTTCCCCACCCCGTATGTTGTCTATAAAGAAAACAGCCTATAATTTCTTCTGTATAGTCGTAGTCTAAATAGCAACATGTTCCAATGTGAAATTATGTGAAGAGAATGATTTTCATGCTTGGTATTCTAATAGTGTTTTTGTATTGATTTCCTTGGGGGGAAATATGGCAAGACAAACTTTATTATTTCTTGGTCTGAAGGAATTTTCTTCTATGTTGGCCCCAGTTCACATAAGTCTCTTATTTGTCAAAAATAAATTTGATTCTTTTATCATTAAGATTGATACGTAATTATGGTATGACCACTATATGAAGTTCTTTGAGATCATATGACATCAGAACTACTCTATATGAAATGCCTATGCTTAGATCAGTAAGTAATTTGTATTGTTATTAACCTTACAGCAGGGCCAGGACTAGGATGAATCAAGGGCACAGAACTAGGGCATAGGCCAGGACTGGTGGTTCATGCCTGTCATCCAAGTACTTTGGGAGGC